GTGGTATAACCTGTGTGTTGTGGGGGTGGAGGTGGTATAACCTGTGTGTTGTGTGGGGTGGAGTGTGGTGTGGGTGGATAACCTGTGTGTTGTGTGGGTGGAGGTGGTATAACCTGTGTGTTGTGTGGGTGGAGGTGGTATAACCTGTGTGTTGTGTGGGTGGAGGTGGTATAACCTGTGTGTTGTGTGGGTGGAGGTGGTATAACCTGTGTGTTGTGTGGGTGGAGGTGGTATAACCTGTGTGTTGTGTGGGTGGAGGTGGTATAACCTGTGTGTTGTGTGGGTGGAGGTGGTATAACCTGTGTGTTGTGTGGGTGGAGTGGTATAACCTGTGTGTTGTGTGGGTGGAGTGGTAACCTGTGTGTTGTGTGGGTGGAGGTGGTATAACCTGTGTGTTGTGTGGGTGGAGGTGGTATAACCTGTGTGTTGTGTGGGTGGAGGTGGTATAACCTGTGTGTTGTGTGGGTGGAGGTGGTATAACCTGTGTGTTGTGTGGGTGGAGGTGGTATAACCTGTGTGTTGTGTGGGTGGAGGTGGTATAACCTGTGTGTTGTGTGGGTGGAGGTGGTATAACCTGTGTGTTGTGTGGGTGGAGGTGGTATAACCTGTGTGTTGTGTGGGTGGAGGTGGTATAACCTGTGTTGTGTGGGTGGAGGTGGAGTGTGTTGTAGGTGGTATAACCTGTGTGTTGTGTGGGTGGAGGTGGTATAACCTGTGTGTTGTGTGGGTGGAGGTGATGTAACCTGTGTGTTGTGTGGGTGGAGGTGGTATAACCTGTGTGTTGTGTGGGTGGAGGTGGTATAACCTGTGTGTTGTGTGGGTGGAGGTGGTATAACCTGTGTGTTGTGTGGGTGGAGGTGATGTAACCTGTGTGTTGTGTGGGTGGAGGTGGTATAACCTGTGTGTTGTGTGGGTGGAGGTGGTATAACCTGTGTGTTGTGGGGGTGGAGGTGGTATAACCTGTGTGTTGTGTGGGTGGAGGTGGTATAACCTGTGTGTTGTGTGGGTGGAGGTGGTATAACCTGTGTGTTGTGTGGGTGGAGGTGGTATAACCTGTGTGTTGTGTGGGTGGAGGTGGTATAACCTGTGTGTTGTGTGGGTGGAGGTGGTATAACCTGTGTGTTGTGTGGGTGGAGGTGATGTAACCTGTGTGTTGTGTGGGTGGAGGTGGTATAACCTGTGTGTTGTGTGGGTGGAGGTGGTATAACCTGTGTGTTGTGTGGGTGGAGGTGATGTAACCTGTGTGTTGTGTGGGTGGAGGTGGTATAACCTGTGTGTTGTGTGGGTGGAGGTGGTATAACCTGTGTGTTGTGTGGGTGGGTGGAGGTGATGTAACCTGTGTGTTGTGTGGGTGGAGGTGGTATAACCTGTGTGTTGTGTGGGTGGAGGTGGTATAACCTGTGTGTTGTGTGGGTGGAGGTGGTATAACCTGTGTGTTGTGTGGGTGGAGGTGATGTAACCTGTGTGTTGTGTGGGTGGAGGTGGTATAACCTGTGTGTTGTGTGGGTGGAGGTGGTATAACCTGTGTGTTGTGTGGGTGGAGGTGGTAGGTGTGTGTAGGTGGTATAACCTGTGTGTTGTGTGGGTGGAGGTGATGTAACCTGTGTGTTGTGTGGGTGGAGGTGGTATAACCTGTGTGTTGTGTGGGTGGAGGTGGTATAACCTGTGTGTTGTGGGGGTGGAGGCGGAATTTAAGCTGCAGTATGAGCCAGTCTGGGCACGCACTCCTGCCGGATAGGACTTCCTGTCTTGTTTCTTAATCTTAAAGATGTTTTGGAAGTATGACCAAGAGTGTCCAGCATCCTCACACTGGCCTCCGACGGCGTCGACCTGTGTAAATATAGACTGTAGTGACGTCATTGCGTAGAGAGCAATGAAGGTACTTTTTTTGCAGGGAAATTCCTGCGCGGGCCCTAAGCCTCTGGCTGGTCCACTTAAGTATTGCTTGTTTCTGTTTTACTTGGGCGGAGTATGAGTATTTATAACTCGTATGGTCGCTTCAGTAAGATTTTGTCCCACGAGTTTAACAACTTCTTCTCTGTTGAATCTAAGTTGAAATCTTAATGGGTTTGTAATTGTGCACTGTGTTAGATAATGTTCCAGTGATCTGTCGGGCATTTCTCTACAGTGTTGACATTTCCTCTCATCTTCCGGAACCTGTAAGTCTATTCCCCATGCACATGGGTATCCAAGCCTGATGCGATGTAAGTGTACTTCTGTTGTTCTGCTCCCTTTCAGAAGGTACATGATTGGCTCGTTTGAATACACACACTATTTAATAAGCTACACAAGATTAACATATAATCACGTAGAAAATAATATGCTGGATGAACCTTAGTCAGGATGGAGTCTGGTATTTAGTGAGATTGAAAAATTGGCATAATTTAACATTTTCTGGAAATGGGTTCTATGGGGATCGACCTACCTATGACCATCCCCGAATCAAGACCAGTCACCCTGCCAAGCTTTGTGAGGCTAGTCCCAAGTGTGTGGCCGCCGTCCTCGACCATATCGACACACAAGCAACCGAACATTATTTTATATATACTAGATATAGGAGGGGGGGGGGGGGGGGTGTTACCCTGAGGTGCCCTGGTCATCTGTCTCTTCCCCCTTCCCTTTTTCCCTTCCCTTCCTACCCCCTTTCCCCTCTCACCCCGTTCCACCTCTCACCTTCTCTCATTTATAATATCACAAATTTCCAAAAGAACATCAACAGACAGACGGACATTTACATAAGAAAATTTCACACTACAGTGTGAAAAGGTACCCATCACTGACAGCTGAGTGGACAGCGCTTCGGATTCGTAGTCCTGAGGTTCCGGGTTCGATCCCCGGTGGAGGCGGAGACAGATAGGCAAAATGTTTCTTTCACTCTGATGCCCCTGTTACCTAGCAGTAAATAGGTACCTGGGAGTTAGACAGCTGCTGCGGGTTGCTTCCTGGGTGTGTGTGTAATATGAAGGAGGCCTGGTTGAGGACCGGGCCGCGGGGACGCTAAGCCCCGAAATCATCTCAAGATAACCATCAGAGATACACAGCAACACGCAATATATATAAAGTCTAAGGAAGAAAATTCATGTCATCAAAATAATTTTTTGGTGTAAGGGATAAGTATTATGATAAGATTTTGTTGGCATGATCAGGGCAAAAAAATCAATATGGCCAATAATAATAATAATAATAATATTTAATAATAATATTATTATTATTAATTCAGAGTGGAGTCATATGGTGCTGGGAGAAGTAAGAGAGGCGAACAGTAACAAGCGGAGTGCCTCAAGGCTCGCTGCTGGAACCAATACTATTTCTCATAGTACAAATGACCTATCTACAGGAGCTGTCTTATATGTCAATGTTTGCAGCTGATGCAAAATAAATAAGAATTGTGACAGATGAGGAGTGTAGGATGACCTAAACTAGCCTCAGAGTTGGCTTCAGACCAACTGGAGCTAGTTTAAGAACATGGCTGCTGGAGTTCAACACAAAACGTGTAACATGATGGAAATAGTAACAGGTGACAGGAGACCAAGGGAGAGTACAAGAGACACTACACAACGACGGGAAACTTCGTCACTGTAACGACCAGAGAAAAAGACCTGGGAATGGACTTAACACCAAACCTAACTCCAGAGACTCATATAAACAGGACAATGACAGCAGCATACTCTACACTGGCAAAAGTTAGAACATCATTCAGGAACCTAAATAAGGAACATTTAGATCACTATACACCACCTACGTGAGACCAGTTTTAAAGTATGCCGCCCCATCGTGGAGCCGCCACCTAAAACCACATAAGGAAACTTGAAAAGGTTCATAAGTTTGTGACGAGGCTCGTCTCTGAATTGCGAAGCATGGGGCATGTGAAGAGAGACTGAAGGAACTAAACCTGACGACGCTAGATATTGGGGAGATATGACAGAGACATAAAATACATAGAGGGATTGACAGAGTTGAAAAGAAAGAAATGTCCACGATAAATAACAGTAGAAGAAGAGGGCAAAATGGAAGCTTGAGACTCAGACGAGTTATAGAGATGTTAGGAACTTGTCGTTTATTACGAGAGTAGTGGGAAAGTGGAATGAATTGAAGGAGCAGCTCATGGAAGCAAACTCCATTAATACCTTAAAAAAAAAGTAATGCAATGATTCCTTTTCATCTAGACAACAGAAAGGCGGGGTCCAGGAGCTAATGATCGCTCCTGTAGGCACAAAGAAGTGAGGACACGCGGCCTCTACATTTGCCACTCCCTTAAAAAAAAAAACTATCCTAACCAGAAATATACGAATCCAATCATCCCATCTATCGAGTCCGATGCATAGAAAACGTGAATATTTGCGAGCCGTTACTGTCTTAATTGGTTGCATTTATAACGTTGGTTACGGTAACATATAATACAGGTGATGTATTGGTTGAGAGGGCGGGTTGACCACACTTGAGTCTGCAGGAGTACTCTGAGGGATGTAATCTTAGGTACAGGTTAGGGTATGGTTGTTGGGTAGTCGTGGTTGTCAGGTTAGTTGTGGTAGTGTAGTTAGTCGTGGTTGTCTGTGAGTTGTGTTTGTAGTCGTGGTTGTGTGGGTTACCGTGAGGAGCCTCCGGGGCTTACCGTCCCCGCGGCCCGGTCGTCGACCAGGCCTCCTGACTCCATTAGGGTAGGGTTGTGATGGTTGTGTTGTGGGGATTGTAATAGAGTTAGTGGGTAAAATGTTAGGTAATGTGAACCGTAGAAACTGCGTTCTGGAGGTGTTGAAGCTCAACGGGCTATTGCGGCGCGCAGCGGTGGTGGCAAGTGGTCACCCGCGGGTGTCCGGGGGGCGGGGCCTAGCGCACCGCGGGCCGCTATTGGCTGGCGGCCAGTTACCAACCCACACGCGGGGCGTGACAGAGGCCGAGGGACCACCCTCAACCAATCAGCATTGAGCTTTGGCACTATGGGCGGAGCGAGACGGTGTGGAGGGGCGGGGCGAGCGCGATAAGACGCGGTGGGAACCCAGTTGTGTGAGGGAGGAGATAGTGACAGTCCCTGGGAACTGGTATCGTGGCACGCAGGCGCTGCTCCTGTCTTGCTCCTCCGTCAGCCACCAACCCGCGCTTCCCTCACCCACCATACCCGCCACACTAGTAGTGTACTAAGCTTCTCTACCCGCCCAGTGAACTATCGCACCGTCTTTGTGAGAAAGCGCGTTACAGTGAACTCAGAGGAGGAATTGGGTGTTGTGTCCGGGGGTGTGGAGTGTCGTAGTGTTGTGTTGCGAGGAACGTGATGATAGTGTAGTCTCCCGGGGGCACGGACATGGTACTGGACTGGACGGAACCTTCCCACCACCTCAACACCATGGCCTCACATCTACAGTACTCGGAGGACCAGGTAAGGCAACCCGTCACCTCTCACACCTGTCTTTACCCGTCTATCACTGTGATGGTACTCCTCTACTGGCCTTGTTGACTCCCACAGCCTGCGGCAGGAGCTACAGCCTGCGGCAGGGGCTGCACATTGAGTGTCGGGAAAGTAGCATATGTTGGCATCAGAATATGTATAGAACAGCATATGTCACTGCTTTTCAACAGTGCCAAAGTAAATCGGTGCACGACAGTGTCTTAATCGCTAGTGTGTGTGTGTGTGTGTGTGTGTGTGTGTGTGTGTGTGTGTGTGTGTGTGTGTGTGTGTGTGTGTGTGTGTGTGGTGGGCAGGACGGAGGTGGTGGTGGGGGCCCCACACACACACACAGGATGCTCCGGCCGGTCTTGGGAGTCCAGTGTGGACGCCATGGTCTCCTTAGAAACATTCTGTAATTGTTTACCGTTTACATCCTTTTTCCGGTGGGAGAACTGTGGGCGTGGGAGGACTGTGGGCGTGGGAGAGTGGCGGGTATAGCTCAGACGTCACTACACATGGGATATTACAAGTAACTCACTCTCCGAGTCATACACGACTTTCCTTCCTGTCCTCCCATAGTAGCTCCCATGGTAGCTAGCTTAGAATGAACTAGTGCCTCCATACCTTGCTAGCCTCCTATGGTACCTTCCCTACCATGCAGTAATTCTCTCATACCTTTCCAGTCTCTCATGGTACCTACCATGCCATCCACTAATGTATGGTACCTAACATATCGACCAGTAATACTCCCATACTTTGCTAGCCTCCTATGGTACCTTCCCTACCATGCACTAATACCCCCACGGTACGTGCGGGCCGCTCCAAGCAACAGGCAGTTTGACCAAGCTCTCACAAGTCAAGCCAGGCCTCGGGCCGGGCTTGGAGAGTAGAAGAACTCCCAGAACCCCATCAAGCAAGCAGGTACCCTACCGTGCACTAATACTCCCATGGTACCTACCCTACTATGCACTAATAACATGGTACGTACCCCACCATGCACCAATAACTTGGTACCTCCCCTACCATACACTAATACCCCTATGGTACCTCCCATACCATACACACATTCCAGTTTACGTGCCCTAATGATTATAAGCTGAACAAACAAGGCCTTTACCTGGCCTGCATAACCTGTAACACCTCTCTAGTACCTGCTGCAGGAGCCAGGTGCCACAGGCTCCAGCACCCCCTCATGCCCCTCACACACACACACACACACTCAAACTAAAAAGAGTGTGTCCTGGCGCTCTGCACCCAGCGTCAGGGGACGGGCTCACCACCTCACACTTGAAGTATATATTACTTCTCCAGAGCATACTGGAGTAGGCTACCACAGTGGTGTGTTATATTGTGAGGCGTCCCTAAGGCCTGGCGCGGGGACTGCTGTCATTTCTGACTCTTCAGCTCCTCCGCAGCTTCATACGTATATATGAAGTACAAAATAATATGCTGGAGGAAGGTATACACAAAGGGGTGTACCCCATATCCTGGTTTACATTTAAACGAAGTTTACCTCAGGCCTGAACTGCGTCACTATCCTCGACATGGTGACGTTTTATTATAGAAATGGAAATACAAGACTTTATTCATAAATATTGGTTTTGTACATGTATAAATGAGTTTAAACTAACACAGTAAATTATTTACTTAAGAGAAGGTCCGTAATAATATCATAATGTGAAATATCAGTAGTTATAAACTGTATATCAAAGATTAGATTATTAGATTTAGATTAGAATTAGATTTAGAACCTATATTTATCAATGATTTTAAAAATCATTACAGTTGTCAAATTCAGAATTAAGAAACTATTTCCGTAGCGACTTAAACAAATGTTCCATAAATGGCTGGACTAAACAAGTGAACTCTTCTAAATCTAAATCTAGTCTAAATCAAGGCTAACAATTCTAGACTTGTTAGACTTGATTTAGATGAACAAGTCTAAATCTAACTTTACATTTTTGGCTTTAAAAGTGTGTGAGTGTGTATACCACCGAGCTCACTTTTAAGCCAGGATGTAAAGTGGCTCTATAAGTGCATAGGACTAAAGTGTAGTTGGTGGTCGGTCAATAATGTATTGTGGCGGCCTCCTTTATAACTGCCAAGAGGCTCGTAGGCCTTAAACCCAACACCATAACCTTAGATTGTATGCTAACTTGTGGTCAATATTACCGGTGGTCGCTAACTTGTGGTCAGCAATAGTCATCATACGGCATTTTCTTCCTCATTGTAACGACCACTATGAGTCCCCGCCTCCGTAGACTCATTTCTCCTCTCATTCATGAGTCCAGCTGCTGTTTGCAGCCTCATTCTCCTCTGCCTCACAACTCATTCATCCACGTGCAACATGGATGGTTGTTCATCCATGTTGCAATCCGCTAAGGCCACCATCAACTTTTAAGAAAGGAATATGATGGGTCTTGATATTAAATATTTGCTACTTTCCGTAAGCAGTAAAATAGGTACCTGGGTGTTAGTCAGCTGTCACGGGCTGCTTCCTGGGGGTGGAGGCCTGGTCGAGGACCGGACCGCGGGGACACTAAAAAAAAAAAAGCCCCGAAATCATCTCAAGATAACCTCAAGATTCCCCCAAGTCATGTTTGCCTCAGTTTTTCCCTAACATGTCAGGCCAGGTGGACCTGGGTACAGCTTCAGGGACTAACTATATTCAGCTTCAGCAATTCATTAAGTGTGATTTCTTTCATCTTTACATTTCTTTCAAAAAATCCAATTGTATGCCTAACATTAGTAATAGTACTGATAGTGGGAGTAGGAACTAGAAGTGGTAGTGCCAAGTGGTAACAGTCGCTACACAACCAATATTTCAGACTTCATGCAAGTCGCATGGGATGGTCTCTTTAAATGCCAGTATTTCGTAGAGCATTTCACTCGGACCCAATCTCGATTGGCCTATGACACTCCCCTACCCCATATGTTTCATGTGTTAAAGTTGGGTGAAGATATTCCCAGGCGTCTGGCCTAAAATTTTGGACAGACAGACAGACAGGCCGACATTGTCTCTTGAACATATAGATTGTTCGTTACTTGGTTCCTGTTGAATCACCCTTACTGCACCACAGTGTAACAGTCAATGAAATCAGATCAAGTCCAAGTGCAGCGAAAAGCTCTGTACCCCAGGGCACAGTCCTAGCACCATTTCTCGTTCTCATTCTTATCTCTGATATAGATAAAAACACTAGACACAGCTGTGTGTCATCCTTTGCAGATGATACAAAAATCAGCATGAAAATAACTTCTACTGTTATTAGGCACTGAAAAACTACAAGCTGATATTAATAAAGTCTTCGATAGGGTAATGGAAAATAACACATGTTTAACAGTGATAAGTTCCAAGTACTGAGGTGCGGTGGAAATGAGCTTAAACGAAACACAGGGTACAGGACACCATCAGACTTATTCACAGAAGGAAAGCAATACGTAAGAGGTCTGGGAATTACGATGTCTGCCGTCCTAACATTTAGTAAACATAACCGAGTAAATATAGCGGCGGCCAGGAAATGATAGGATGAATCATGAAAACATTCAAATACAGGGATCCCATCACAATGTTAATGCTATTTAAATCACTGGTGCTCTCCCGCCTGGAGTACAACACCTAAGGTACCTTCCCGGAGACATCTTGCGTACTCTAGCCGACGAGTCCGCCTTCCTCAGTAACTCCTGGGCCAGTCCTCCACAGTGTCACAACACTGTGGGCTTACCGGGCTGTGGTGGGTATGTGGGCCTGCGGGCCGCTCCAAGCAACAGCCTGGTGGACCAAACTCTCACAAGTCAGGAGTAAAAGAGTAGAACAACTCCCAGAACCCCATCAACCACTACTTCTACTCTCCACCAACACGCTGGCTCGCCTCCTCTAAGGCTTCACCTATAATAAGCCTTAACTTGAGGGCAGACGGACGTTAATTCCATTTCTTAATTCAACTTGATGGTAGAGCGGCGGTCTCGCTTCATGCAGGTCGGCGTTCAATCCCCGACCGTCCAAAGTAATTGGGCACCATTCCTTGCCCCCGTCCCATCCCAAATCCTTATCCTGACCCCTTCCAAGTGCTATAAAATCATAATGGCTTGGCGCTTTCCCTGATAATTAACCTAATCTTAACTTGGACATCCCGGGACACGTCGGTCCAGTCACCAATACTTGACTGGATATCGTAGACAAATCAGTGGTGAAGAGAAACAATGGGCAGAGTTTCTTTCACCCTATGTTCCTGTTACCTAGCAGTAAAATAGGTACCAGGGTGTTAGTCAGCTGTCACGGGCTGCTTCCTGGGGGTGGAGGCCTGGTCGAGGACCGGGCCGCGGGGATACTAAAAGCCCCGAAATCATCTCAAGATAACAGTGTCCACCGACTCGGCGCACTTGTTCCCCACTGGAACAAGTCTTAAGTTCAGTATTACCCTGTGTGAACTGACGCTTGTCCACTAAGGTGCCCTCCACATCACGCCTGAGGAGTAACAATTGTATAGTAAGAAGGAAACTACCCAGGTGTCAGTAAGATCACAGCCTTCCACCGGGAACAGAAAATGGGGTCGGGTGTGCTCAACAGGTGGCGTTGATATCATCACTGTGTGTGTGTGTGTGTGTGTGTGTGTGTGTGTGTGTGTTTACTATTTGTATCTGCAGAATCGAGCTATTAGCTCTTGGACCCCGCCTTTCAAACCAATCTATTTTCCTCTAGTATGTCTACTACATATATTTCTCTCTAACACACTTGCGCGCACACATCCCCAGAAAACAGCCTGTAGGAGCTGTCTAAGTCCCAGCTACCTATTTACTGCTAGGTGAACAGGGGCACCAGGATGAAAGAAACTGCCCATTTGTTTCAGCCTCTGCCGGGCATCGAACCCGGGTCCTTAGGACTACGACCCCAGAGCGCTGTCCAGTCAGCCGCAAGGACCCCTGTGTACTCACCTAGTTGTGCTTGCGGGGGTTGAGCATTAGCTCTTTGGTCCCGCCTCTCAACTGTCAAT